AAAAAAAAAAAAAAAAAATCAAGCCTTCAACTGTTCTCCGACATCTATGCTCATTGCGGTCAGGACCCTCATCATTCTAGATGACAAATACCATACCCTGGAACAGGTGAATCCTTCATATTTCTATTTTATTTAATTAGAATGAACACCCACTACCAATTTGTTGATTGTTACAGTATAAAAGCAGAAGAGGAAGGAGTTTCTTCACCATCAAAGCAGTTGACAGTAAACACTGCCTGCAATCATTAAAGGCAGCGAGTAAAGGAGACTCGACTCTGTTTTACTTTATATTAAATAACCACAAATGGTACAGTGGTAGATCAAATGCTCTCCGGTGGTAGATCAAATGCTTTCCGATACGGTGGCATTTCTGTTTTCTATTTTTCCGGGACTGAAGGAAAAATGAGTAAGCACAAGAGAAAGGCAGCAGCAGATCACTTAAAAGCAGCATGCTCGCCCCCCTCCCCCACTTCACAGTGGAAGGCTTATATTCATTAAAGCTGATTATAACCAAGGCCCTGCCAGCTGCCCTTTCATATTCCCTTCTGGCCTGAACACCTCAGTCTTGTTACAATGCCAACCTAAAGTTTTAAGCCAGGAAGCGATTCTAATTATTATCTCTTAGAAACGAAAAGGTAAATGTAAGCAATTCGAGAGAGGTCACCAAGCCACTTCTAAAGCTGAAGACCATCAGATAAGTGTCTCCAGCAATTCCTCTATTGTCCGGACCACTCTTCATCACCCTATATGGGAAAAGCAAGGAGATTAGGAATACATCCTCAAGAAATCTGCAATTCCTCCACTTTATACAGCAGCTTGCAATACAGTGAGCCTGTCTCCAATAATCGGAGCTATGACTAGATGCCACAAGCCCTGGTGAAGAAATCCAACAAGAGCCTTCGGTGTTCCTGCTTTAAAAAAAAATAAAAAAAAAATAAAAAAAAAGCAGTGTGATATATATATATAGATCTATATATTTATATATCTATAGATATAGATATATATATGAGAGAGAGAGAAAACCTACCTCTAAAGTTGGCCACCAGCTGTAATGTCTAAGTCCCATTGGCTCCCTTGGCTAATGCTTTAGTCATTTGTTTCTATGCATAATTTGTAAATTATATATTATACACACTCTTTGGGGCCACCATAATTGCTTACCACAAAGGTCATTGCTGCTTCCTGCTTAGCAGTGGTCCACAATGACTCTACCTTTGGATGACAGTCATCCAAATACATAGACTCATGTTTATGGCAGCACCCGGAAAGAACAGTGATCACTCAGGTTAAAAAAACAAACCCATTGTAATCACTACAGGGATGGAGGAATGAATATGGAGTTCAAGAGCCAGCCTGTCTAATCCAGGAACCCACTCTACTGACAACTAGGGATGCACCGATACGGGTTTTTCGGCATCGAGTACCAATATTTTTTTCCGGCACTCGCCGATACTGAAAGTCCCATTAAAGAAGCCAGGCGGTGTGTAATGACTCACCACTTGACTTCCTGACTAGCCAGAAAGCATGTAAAGACTTGACACTCAGCTTCCTGATTAGCAGGTAACCCATCTCCATGCTTCCTCGTCACCAGGCGACGAGGAAGAATGGAGCCGGCTTTCGGTGGGTAACGACTCACCGTCTGGGTTCCTAATTGACCATCTTCTCGGCCATTTAGGAAGCTAGGCGGCGAGTCATTGCATGCTGAAGTACGGGTATTGGGCTAGGCATCCTAGAATTTGGGCGAGTAAGAGTACTAAGCCAAATACTCGGTATCGGCACCGATACTAGTATCGGTATCGCTGCATCCCTACTGACAACTGAAGAAGACCTCAAAAGTTAGACACCAGGTATATTTTTAAGAGAGCATTAGTTACCTTGCTCCCAGAATTTGTGCAGCCCTGAATTGAAATAATCTGCCCAAAACACTTTTCTGGCATAAACATGCAAGGTGTTCAAAGCCAACCATGTAAGTTAAAGGAAGGCTTTGTGGAGCGGGGTAGGTTGATGGTCTCCAGGGTGGGGAGGGCCTGTCTGTGCATCTGGCCACCCTTCAATGTCTATGGGAAGCACTATGGTTCACCACGCTCAGTGCAAGACTACCAGTCACATCTGACTGAAGAAGACAACACACTCTTGTGTGCGGCTGACTTTATCTCAGTAGCTGTTAATCCATGAGGCTGGGTCACAGCAGTACTGTAAACAGAAATAAATGACAAACCTGTTTATATAATGCAAGAAGTGGAAACGCGAATAATAAAAAAAAAAGGTCAGAGCTGAACTCCAGACATAAAAACAGCCAGAAACCTCTCATTTTATTCTATTCCTCAATAGCCACATAGGATATAAATCCTTGTAAGCACCAAATACTTTTACAAACACAGTTAATACCTTATATGCCTAGCAGTGACAAAACTGTGCAGAGACCAGAGTTGTGGGAGGGACACAGCAGGCTCCACCCACTGCAGGCAGAAAACTACAGGAGGGGCGGATACAAGACCAGTCACCCTGCACAAGGAGAGAGAGCAGCAGTGACTGGTCTCTATTACAGGAAGTTCCTGCAGGAACTTCCTGTAATAAAGACCAGGAAAAAAAGTTTTAAACTGGATTACTGCACAGATCTGGAAAAAGTGCATAAAAGACACCAAGATTTAAAGGAAGAAGCCTCTTGTATTTAGACAATATTTGCTGATCCCAGAGTTCAGCTTTAAAAGAGTGATTCAATATTGCTAAATAACTCATAATTTGACCTCAATGAAAACACACAAGAGTTCCCTTGAGTCAACTAGAGGTTCAAACAGATTATGTATCAGAAAGGGGAATAGAAGGAAAGTGAAAAACGCAGAGTGTAATGTGAATGAACACACAGCTGGATAAAAATGTAGAGCAATACTTATACTGGGCCCCAACCCCTATGAGCTCAGCCGTACTTTTCATCCCCTGCAGCCCCTTCAGTTACATCCCAATGACTGGAAATCGAGTACTCATCTCAGGTGCTTTCCTACGACATAAGGACCCCCTATTCTGTGATCTACTGTACATTAAAGGCCATCTCTGGGCAAACCAAAACACCCCCCGTGCAGTGGGCCTCCCCCCGCACTGAAAGGGTTAAAAGGAGAACTATGGGGTTACGTCTTTTTCCCATAGTTCTTCTTAGGGTAACGGGAGGACACAAACTAGCGTCCTCCCGTCACCCTAGGCTCAGTATACCGCGAGGTCGGCTAGAACTATGAGGTGAGTGAAAAGCACTCACCTCATAGTTCTACTTTAAGAGCGGCTCTGCGCGTATCCGTACAGCCGGAAATGCGGAGAGGCGCTCAGGTGTGAATGGAGCCTTACGCTCTTTCTCGGCGGTGTACAAAAGGTAACCGGCGTGTGAATGAGCCCATAGATGATCAATGACAAGACACTGGTTTCCATATCAAGCAATGTAACAATGTAACAGCTGTGCTTTTCGGATTGTATTTTCTGTAGCCTAGCAGGGGGCAACATAGGAGGATCTCAGTCTTTTTGGGTCAAATTTTGCACCCCAAGCTAATCTACCAATACAAGCAACCCAAAGTCCATTTTACTGGTCTGTAATAAACGTGGAGTAGAAGCCCCGGTCTGATGACACGGCTGTCCTTAGCCAGGCAGAGACACGAGTACAACATGATGACGGCTGTGTGCACTAAAGACACTCACTTCGGGTTAAACTATTATCGGGATAGTCACCGGGGGTGGGCGACTCCGCACTCCAGCTGTTGTGGAACTACAAGTCCCATGAAGCATTGCAAGACTGACAGCCACAGGCATGACTCCCAGAGGCATGTTGGAAGGTGTTGCTAAAGCACAGCTGGAGGGCCGGAGTTGCCCACCCCACTTGAGTTGTAAGCTCTTGCCCGTGACAACCAATCACCATCTCTCTCCAGGTAACATTTGAAAATGAGACCGAGAAGGTGATTGGTGCCGTGCAAATCTGCTCCAGATTTTGTCTGCTCCAGTTTTGAGAAATTCCTTCATTGTATTCTAACATTAACCACCGACCGCTGCCAGAATACCCGAATGGAGCCTGCAGCTGATCGGCCCGAACTGAGCCGAGCCAATAATTTTCTAACCAGCTCATTCGTTCTTCTGATCAAGGGATGCCGAGCAGAAAAATGCCAACAGCGGCACCCACGCAGTCAATTTCGGCTGGTTCATCAGGAATGCCAAAAAATGTTTTCCAGCGCAGTGTGACGCGGTACAACCGCTTCCATCTGCTGTGCCAATGGAACTTAATCAAATGTCACTTTGTGACATTTCAATAAAGTTCCAATAAAAAAAGCTAACAGTATGTGTGCCAGGATCAGCTCATTAAGAAGGGAGGGGGGTAACAGGGGCATTTAATGTGGATGAGGGAATGCCCCCCATCTCTTAATGAGCCGATCCTGGCACACATACTGTTCGCTTTTTTTTGGAACTTTATTGAAATGTCACAAAGTGACATTTCAATAAAGTTCCCTCATCCACATTAAATTCCCCCGTCCATGCCATTTACTTGGGGATTGAGTGTCTTTCCCGCAAAATAAAAAGAACACGACTCCTGCATAGCTATGTGTATTTTACTACTATGCCCTTGTGCGAAAGCCAAATAGAAAATGATACAATCAGATTGGCTAGTGTATGGTATATGATATAAAGATCTAACCGAACTTGTATCCAATCAGAGAGGCCCTCTAGTCGGAGGTATCATATGATCAGATTGGATGGTAGAGGGGTGAGCACATTCCAATCATCCAGCTGTGGTGGAACTACAAATCCAAGCACGCATCTGTCTCCGGGAGTCATGCCTGTGGCTGTGAGAGCTTTGCAATGCCTCATGGGATTTGTAGTTCCACAACAGCTGGAGTGGAGTTTGCCCACCCTGGGGGATAGGCTATGGTCAGCTTTACATCCTAGAACATAAAAAAGGACAAACCTATGGAATCAATTCTCATCCAATCAAGGAGCCGACCTAGTTGTACAATCAGATTGGATAACATGAGACAATGGAGGGTGAAGTGAGGAGCAGATCCCAGGAGCCGGTCATGCACTATACAATCACATTGCACAATCTGCTTTAGGTAAAGTTTGGTTTGTATGCAGTCAGGCATGCTCTTGCAGGAGATTGTACGATCAGATCGTACAATCAGTAATATTGCACAGTGGGTGTGTGGGGGGCAGTAGGGTGCCAAACTCACTTCTTGCCGCAGTCCAGGAGGATGCCGCTGTACGACTTCTCCCCGCAGCTCAGGGTCACCAGCAGCGTGTCATTCACCATTTGCTCCACCAGGACTGGCACCAGCGAGCCGACCCGCAGCTCCTGCCCGTCCTCGGCCTCCATGCTCGCCCCGGCTTCCGGATGCCAGCTCTATCCCTTCCCTCGGTCCCCCTGTCAAAGGCCTACTGAGTGCACAGCGCCCCCTGACTCTTCCGCCTGACCTCCCGGCTACACCAACACCGTCTCCTCCGCCGCCGCTGCTGGGACTGCGATGACGCCACGACAGGGTATCCCCGCCCCCGTCCACTTATCCCCCCCTCCTCCTCCGACTCGCTATTGTGACGTCCTACCGGGGACAGCTGGCTTTGTGACGTCACACATGGGAATCCTGTACAGTACAAGCCATGCGGTTGTGTGACGTTCCCCCACCGGTGATCCCTAATTCTGGGAAGTATTACAATTCCAGCAACGTGTCACCCTGTTATTGTTACAGAGTGCTCTGCCCATGTAGCCTCTAAAGCCCTCCCTTCATTCCACAATACAATCACGCCAAGCCATTATTATTATGATGATATTATTATACAGGATTTATATAGCACCAACAGTTTGCACAGCGCTTTACAATACAAGGAGGACATTACAGTTAAAATACAAATCAAGACAAGAGGGTAAGAAGCAGGGACGTCCTGGGGCCTGGTGTCACCCGATCACTAGACCAGGTGACACCCCGCCACATCATCATGGCGCGTGACATCGCCTTGCGTGTGCACAATGACGTCATCGCGCATTCGCAGCCATCTGACTGACGTCTTTCAGCGGCCGTCTTGGTGATGGACACCGGCAGAGAGAGGAGGGGATGTTCACCGGCGGGATGAGGTATGCCGCCGGGTCCCCTCCTCTCTCCTGACAATGTCAGGCTCTCGGGCCATTACCGAGTGCCCGACTTTTTAGAGGGGGGTAACACCAAAATGACTGCCAGTTATTTTGGTGTCACCCCTGCAATGGTGAATCCCGGGTGCGGGCCGCACCCCCCTTGTGATGCCACTGGTAAGAATGGCCCTGCCCATGTGGGGTTTCAGCCCCTCCCCATTTGAACACGAGCGTGATTTGTAGTACAGGAGCAGAATCACATGTTTGTCCCCGTCCAAGGGCAGCCAAACTCCGGCCCTCCAGCTGTTGTGTAACTACAAGTCCCATCAGGCATTGTAAGACTCTGACAGCCACAGGCATGACTTCCAGAGACATGCATGCTGGGATTTGTAGTGTCACCACAGCTGGAGGGCCGAACGTTGGCTACCCCTGACATAGACGTATCAAATCTATGTTTACCTTTCTGAGCTTGTTTCATGTTACACCCATATTCAGAGTGTAACAACCCGACATGACATCACGGCGCATGCGCGATTACATCATCACGCATGCACGGCGATCTTTTGATACCTGCGGGCAGCCATCTTAGTGATGGACGCCGGCAGATAGAGGGGACAATCACCCGGCGGGATAATGTGCCGCCTGGTCCCCTCCTCTCTCCTGACACTGTCGGGAGCTCGGTCCATGACCGAGTGCCCGACTTTTCAGAGGGGGGTCACCCCTCCAATGGTGTCACCCGGGGGCGGGCACCCCCCTTGTGACACCACTGTAGTTCACAAGTGAGGTGACATCACCACACTTGTAGTCCATTCATTCTGCCTTTCGTTCATGTTACGCATTCCAGTTCTTTTGTTTGTGGAGTGGGGCTGTCAGCTGTTAACTGCAGTGCGGTGCGTTTTTTGCGCATTTTCATTGCGTTTTTAATGCGTTCGTACGTTTCCGGACCGGAGAAAATATGACATGCAGTATTTTTTCTGTCCGAACCGGAACAGACTGCGCTGGTGAGAACTGGAGCCCATAAAACACATAGGGATACAATGGGATGCCTTTTTAGTGCAGGAGCGAACTGCTCTGGTCCGGACGTCGTGTGAACAAGCCCTTAAGCCAGAATGTTTCTTTACATTGTTATTATTATTCAGGATTTATATAGCGCCAACAGTATGAGCAGCGCATTCCAAAATATGAGCGGCACAGTACAATCACAATAACATTGCATACAACAGGATGAGAAGGGCCCTGTTCATGAGAGCTTACCATTTTATTGCTGAATAAATAAATGTTTAAAATATATTTTTTTACTTAAAGGAGAACTATGAGGTGAGTGCTTATCACTCACCTCATAGTTCTAGCCGACCTGTGACAATGAGACTGTCACAGGTCGGCTCAGTAGATTGGGAAGTGAGCGAACACATACCGCCGTTCGCTCACTTCACGATCCTGTCATGGCTCTCTGCAGTGACAGGGGAGGGGCTGTATTCCCCCCTCCCCGCTCCGATCTGCCAGCGCTGACTAGCGGAACCGATGGGGGAAGGGGGCGGATACAGCTGGCTCTGCCTCTAGATAGGCAGAGCCAGCTGTCACTCACGCAGCTGGGCGGATCCAGACATAATTGTCGGGATCCGCTTCAGCTGCGGTGTCTCAGTATACTGAGCTTAGGGTGACAGGAGAACGCTAGTTTGTGTCCTCCCGTTACCATTAGGAGAACTATAGGGAAAAGCCTTAACCCCATAGTTCTCATATAACAAATCTGTATTATTATGAAAAGATGTAGCTTTTGTTTTTCATGGTTTGAAGCAGAAATACTGTGTTAGCAGTACTCCATCCAGAATTCTTTATGTTCCTGCAGAGGATGTTTGCAGCCCGGTGACTGATTTATCTTGCCACTGACCAGGCTTTGAATGATGAATCGTGCAGAGCAGCTGGACACAGGTTTTACTGCCATGAAATAATGGCTGTGACGGTTCCCAGTGTATACAAAGAAATATAGGCTCCTCTATCGTTACATTCTATAGGTGGAAGGCAGCAATCTCTCTTCTCAGTTGGGTTAAGAAGGACCGTAAATATCAGCATTTGTTTACACGCATGACTGACGTAATAATATAACCGCGCCTATGAACACGGTGTACGGGCGCAGACAGGATATGGTTTTTAAAATGATCTTCATTATAAGAAAACAAGAGTCTCATATTGAAAAAATAAAATGTAAGCCACAATTACAATCTGACAGTGTTGTACACTTCACAACAAATCTTAAAATAACTTGCCTTTCAAATATGGAGCTATGTGGAGATGGGTAACACCTCTTAATAAAGGAGGAAACAATATTGTAACTCATAAGCTGCCTATTAAAGAGCATCTATGGTCAAAAGCTATCAATACAGATGTATTTTTATATTGAATTTCCAAAAGTTCCACCCCACTCCTAATAACCGTATCGATCTAGAAGTTTGTAAACCAGGGGCTGACTGGCAACTTTTGGCCCAGGGGGCAAGTAACACCCAGAGGCCCACTGAGCCCCCCTCCTGCTTTCCCTCTTCCCCTGCGTGCTCCCCACCCCCCTTGCCACTTTCGTCAGCCATGTAAATTACAACACGGGAAAACAAAATAAACTAGGGATGCTCCTATATATATATCGGCCGCCGAAATATATCAGCCGAAAATTATACTTCCTTGTATCACCTCTCTCGCAGTATAAATTACAACTCAAGGTCCGAGCAATGTAACATTATCATTGCTAGCTGGCAGCAATGCATGATGGAAGATATGCAGGGCTATTCACAAAAGGGTGAAGGGTTTGGAGGAGGCAGGAGAAGTGAACAATCTAGAACAAAATAGCTGATTTGGAAACATTCCCCAATTCAGCTCACTTTCCAGCTCACCGATAAGTTGTCCTAGATTGTTCACTTCTCCTGTCTTCTTCAAACTCTTCACCCTTCTGTGAATAACCCCGATAGTTTTGAGAAATCGAGATTGCATCACGTCAAGCAGCAGAGAAAGAAATGTAAAGCACACAGGGATTGCAGGAAGTTGTTGGAAGTGATGGGCAGACGGAAGGCAGCACTCGCTACATAAAAGAGATGTTTTCATGTAAGCTTTGATTGCATTACCAACAACAACTCTAGTATGTATTCCTATTACAATGATGTTCTAACAGGATAGAATATGCTGAGACTTTGTAGATTCCCATGGCGTCAGACGGAGGGCGGCACTCACTACATAAAAGGGATTCTTTTCAAGTAAGCTTTGATTGTACTCTAGTATGTATTCCTATTGCAATGCTGATGTTATAACAGGATAGGATATGCTGGGACTTTACAACTCCTTTACATTTCAAAAATATGTCTATATGAGTGATATAGCCAACTCTCTTTCCGTGGTTTTTCTGCATCATAAATTCTGTTTACAACCAGCCAGATGATCTGAAAAGCCTAATTAAAGCTGCAAATAGTATTGGCCATTGCCCGATATAGATATACGCAACCCAGAAGATCTCAGGCCAGTGGAACTGGAACAAGTGCTGAGATGTAGGCAACAGCCAGCTATAAAATGTTCAAGGAAGCCTATAAATTAGGCTTCCTTGAAAATTTTATAGCAACTCCGGCCCTCCAGCTGTACTTTAACTACAAATCCCAACATTCCTCTGTCTCTGGGGGTCATGCCTGTAACTGTTAGTCTTGCAATGCTTCATGGGACTTGTAGTTACACAACAGCTGGAGGGCCTGAATTGCCCACCCCTGCTTTAATACAAGCTTACGACTTTATTCTCATTATAAATGCGTTTGACACAACACATTTTTTTGAGTTAAGGCACGCTGTATTATGGCAGCTTATTTATATTGAATGGGCTGGCAGCTCACCTTAACGCACAAAGAAATTCACCTTCAGCATTTTTGCCAACGCAACACACGCTTTGTGAATTGGACCAGTGATTTGCCATGCCTTCTGTGCTGAATGAGGCACCCCCAGCCCGCCGAACCTCCACCCCGTCCCGCTGAAGCTCTGCCCCATCCTGTCAAAGCCCCGCCCCCAGCTCGATAACCAAGCTGTGTGGGGATGAGGAAGGGAGGAGCCTCCCTGTCTCTCACTTGGTCGTCACTGGTGAGGCATCAAGATCGATGTCCTCACTGTTTTTTTTCTTCTTTTTTTTTTATAGGAAAGCTTGGACCAATGACGCTTTGCCATTGGTCCAAGCCATCCACAGAGCTCACGCCTCTAACGCAGAGTAGAGGCTGTGACAGCTCTTGCCTCACCAAGTTAGGTTACACAAGCAGTGGGAAAGCTCGCTGCTGTGTAACCTAACTAGCTGTCAAAAGTCGGATGCAGCCAGGGGCGTATCTGCCGCGAGGCAAACAAGGCGTTTGCCTCGGGCGGCAGATTCCGGGAGGGAGGCGAATGTACCGGCCCGCAAGTCGGTACTTCG